CCCCAAAACCCCAAAACCCCAAAACCCCAAACTATCTTAATGTTATTGAATTAACACAAGATTATTATAAAGAATATTTCAAATGAATTATAAAATGCCGAAAATATTCTCAGCACGGTCACGAAATGTGGCTGATATGTCTGTTCTCAAGCATGCAGGCACTCAGATGATTCAGAATCGGACAGATTGGCAATCTGCTAATTTGGTTGGACAGTCTTCATATGGTCATAGTCAGACCCCACATACAGAGAGGTATGGAGTGACTCCATTTTTAACTAAATCAGAGGAGGTGAAAAATTCTCTAATGGATATAAACGTAAATCTTCAAAATAAAGGAACTCACACTACAGGAGCAGCTCCTCATTTCTTCAACCAAGTGAAAGATGCTGAGGAATACGTTGCTTCTCTCAACCATAAGCCTGCAACGATGATGGATAGAGATTTTCCTTATTTAAAGCAATTTGCAGGAAGAGACATACAATATGATGTTGACTTCTTTATCAGACAAGCCAACAACTTTGATGTAAACTATAAATAAGACTTGGAATTTGTTAGAGAAAATGAAATATAAATTAGAGAATTCACCTGGAGTTATTTTTGCTAGTCTTGAAGTTCAAGATTCAGCTAAAGGGCCTATCTATAACCTTCAATGGGAGGATGAAGAAATGTATCAGGCAAGTAAGACAGTCTTATCATATGAAAAAGAGCTCTCTACCTTGATTAAGAGAATGCCAGAGCCTACACTATTGTTTCAGGTGAGGCATCCTCAATTTCAAGAATTGGTTCAATTCAGAATAGACGTAGAGAATACAATATTTAAGCTAGCTTCTCAAACAAGAGGTGCCGCTCCTTACTCAAAAGGAATCACAGGATCTCTCACTTGTGACTGTAAGCAATGCATCAGGAGAAACGAGGATGAAGGAAATATGAACAAATATATTTGTAGGAATGACTGTGTGTTCTGAGAAGATAACCATCGGATGAACCCTACACCAAATGGTGCTCCAGATACTTCACATAAATATATTGGAACATCTCAAACTGTGAATGCAGATTTAGCTCCGCCACGGTATCACCCAAGAATAGGATTTGTAGTTGAATTTGACTACATTCTTCATATGCCAGGCCATTTTGACAATGTCAGAGTTGTATATGGAATATACCGTAATGGGCTCGTTGTTGATCCTCCCAGAGCAGTCGATTGGAGAGATATAAAAATCAAAGCATTTGAAAGAGATCGGTATGGTTATGCAGTTTTCAATGTCAAGCATCTCATAAAAGATATCATTGCATACTCTGGGACTTGCATTATTTTTGAAATTCAGGTGAACCTACATAAGAAAGCTAGTGGGAAAACAGGGCCATCTAATTATCAATCACACACCTCTGAACAGCCCACTGTTGGGTATGATCTCTTCAGATTCTGGGGTGAAGAAGAAAAAGATGACACAGATGTTGTATTCTATGAGGAGTCTCAGCAACAAAATAAATTTGTTGCTTATGCATGGACAATGGCAGAGCTTTTCTGTAATGATGATGAGCTCAAAGATGGAATCTGGAAGCTGCCTATATACAAACCTACTACAAACTTAGAAGCGACTCCTTATGATTTTTCATTAGGAGTTATCAGGTTTCATGATCCTGACCTTTATATCAGAATTGCCTACCCTGATGATCAATCCGATATAGAATGTTCTCCATATTTCGCGAATTTGTACACAGTGCCAAGGCTTCATCAATTCACTTGTAGGGAAGCCTATATGGATCCTGAAGAAACAGAGCCAGACATGTTTGATCCTGATTCAAAGGTCGAAGGTATGGCTATTGCTCTGCACTATATTGAAGGTCTCATTCCTTCAACCCTCATTAGAATCGCTCTGACAGTCCAACTTGGTAAATGGATTGTTAAAGACGATGGTGGAAGACTTTGTTTCTGGGCTGGAAAAGGACACAAGCACTTCCTAATCCAAGAAATGGAGGAAGAACAAAGAAGAGAGCAACTCCAGAGAGAAGAAGAACAACAGCTAGACCCAATACATGGCACAGGTGATAGCGATGATGACTCTGAAGAAGAAAAGACAGATCAAGAAGGAGAAGGTGAAGGAGATGCAGAAAAAAAGAAAAAGAAGAAAAAGAAAAAGAAGAAGAGAAAAATTAGGAGAAAGAAGAAGGAAAAGAAGCCAAGTCCGGAAGAAATAGCTAAAAGGCAACAAAGAGAAATGGATAGGCAGCTCTATGGAGAAGATACTATGTTCTTAGATGAGAAGCAAACTTGGTATCAAGACTTTTACTCTCTATTTTGGAATAAGTGGTATAAAGAGAATAATAGAAATTTGTACTTACTAATTCAAGTCCTACAACTAAAGGATGGTGTAACTCCTTCTAATTCAAGTGTTACCAAGCAGCTTCTTGCAAGGGAATATGATCTTATTGGATATGGGACTGAGCAGCTTACCTTTGGAGATGGTAAGGTAAAGTATGGAGAGTTTGAAGTGCCTTTATATAAAGGTCCAATTTATGTATGCGAATTCGAGCAAATCAAAATGACACCTCTAAAGATACGGATATCTGTTGATAAACCAAACCTTGATCTTCCTCCTTTGAAACCAGAGCCACGTACTGAACTTGATAAGAAGTTGAAACCATGTTTGAATTTACTCAAGAAAAAGCAGAAGGCTATGAAGAAGGGAGGACTAAAGAAAGTAGCCTTGCAATAGTTAATTTTCAATCTAATTTCGTCAAAATGGGGTTTTGGGGTTTTGGGGTTTTGGGG